AAAAAAAATATAGAAAATAAAATTAAAAAATTGGGCTCTTGATATGTAGAACTGTGTCCTCGTCGCCTGTAAGAATGACTAAAAGTTCTATGTGTAATCCGTTTTTCATTTCGAGTTACTTCCCTTGTATTTCCCTTGTATTGCACTACCGATTGTTTAGCTTGTATTGTTTTAGCATAATGTAGAAATTTACGTACATAGAGGTTCATTCCGGCCACCACTTTTGCATCGAGTTTGTAATGTATATTAATAAAAGTTATATCAGCTTAAAGATTATAAAATTATCTTTCTTAGAGTGGTCACCGAACAAAAATCGATTCTGCGATTAAAGAGTAATGGGTAAAAAAAGACAGAAAGTTACGAGAAAGTTATACTTTTTTCGTCATTTTTCAAACGATTTCGATTCATTCCGGCCACCACTTTTGCGATTAATATGAAAGAAGTGTTTAAACAGTTGGTATCATATTAACAAGTGCAAAATTCCCTTGACCAGAGTGGTCTCCGAACAAAACTCGGTTCAGTACTTTTTGAGATATGAGTATTTATTAGAACGAAAATTGTATCCGGAATATAACTTATTCACCTTTTCGGTGATCCGTTGCACCAGTTACCGTATTGAATATATTGAAAATTCGTAAATATTGATGCATAAGTCGTAAAAACAATATATCTTCTGATGTCGTTCACTTTTTCAAGCTGAGAGTCTGACTGCCAATCGCCTGTTGTCGGTGAACGTCTCGTTTTAGCTACAGTAGGCCTAACGACATTTAGTAACACTCAGGCACTATTACCGTACCCGGAAATAGCTTTTCATAGTAATTCCACATACTTTTTAACATTCCGAGAAGGTGTTAATTTAGAACAAGGAGAAACGACGTATACAATGTGAGCATCAGGGAGTATCTTAGTACATTTAGTAGTGAATTAATATATTATGTTAATGAATACAGTCACGCCGCCGCATTGCAGATAAAGCAAATTATTAGTTAGTTAGTTAGTTAAGTTTATTTCCGGTTCAGGACTAGTGAAAGTCCTCTATACCAGACTCTTATATTACACAATACATAAATATATATATTTCTATTCGGTACACGTTAATGTCTATGGTTTGATTAATGATTTGTAGTTAAAGAAAAGTTCTTGATGTTTCCAGTGGGTATCTAGCCTGTTTTTAAATACATTTACATTTGGTGCGGAGACAACATTTTCAGGCAGATTCCTCAGAATTATTGGCATCCCAAATGGTTAAATTTTAACACACTGTAATATGGTTACTTAGATCTTTTTTCCAGTCCATGCCAATACATCCCTTGGAGATGTTTTGTCTAATACGCCTTGAGTAGATTTTGAACTCCTTCGACTTTCCGAAACTTTCTCGTGCTTGTTCTTTTGATTAAAATGCGTAGTTGTACTTTCACTTTCTCAGTTTCGGAGTCCTTAAGGATCAACCGCGGATTTCACATATAGATTGGTTGAATCTGCTTAAATCGGATAGAAATTTAATTAAAATGTGTATAATCTATAAACGGAACAGAAAAACTAGTAACTGAAAGCTGTATTTTGTAAAAAAAAAAAAAATGTGTTAAAAAATATTATACTAAAACAGACATAAACAAAAAAGAAATGGTGCAGCGTACGCGTATAGCAGCCAGATTAGTCACGAACAAATTTAGAAACACCTCCAGTGATGGTGACATTCCTCAACACCTTAACTGGCAATCATTTGAAGACAGAAAGAGATTCATGCGACTGACAACACTACATAAAACTATATACATGCAACTCATACCTCCATCCCACACATGACATGCACATCAAAACTCATATCAAACAACACTCTCATGTAGAAAACAGGTACGACAACAATCCTTTTTCCCTCGTACCATAGCAGACTGGAACAACCTGCCTCCAGATATAACCTCCATTACCTCTTCTGACTGCTTCACTTAATTATAACTGTCCCTAAACAAAAAAACACTTCTAACTCCCATACTTTATAAATATTCCCTTTCACTATCTTTTATCTTCTCTTCTCTTGGCCTAGCACCCACTATCACATGACATGGTCTTCAAATAGATGAAGGTGGTCATTACTATGTAGATGTATAGATGTAGATTAGGCTTATATTTACATGTCAACAATAAAATGTCACCTGTCAGGAATGGCCCACAGGGTCCGGCCCGCCCCTCCCGCCGCACACAACTAGTAATAATATTGATCTTGTTAGAATTTCAGTTGCTGGATACGTATATCCTAATACTTGTAATATTCAAATACTTGTACATGTACTATATACATATCCAGTGACTGAAAGTCTAACAAATAGGATATTATTACGTGATCAATAATATAACTACATTGTACTTGCATGCTCCTGAGAATGGCCAGTATGTGTTTATAGGGTGGCAACTGTGACTCATTTTTCAAAAAGGCAACTTGAATACACATTTTCGTTTAGTTCCAGCGTTAGCCCACACACACAAATGTTTCATTGGTCATACTCATTGAAAGTAGTATCTACTACATACATACTGTATGTTTTGTCAAATTAATTATCAAAACATCTTTTTTTGTATTCAAATTGTACAATTTTTACTGATTTTTCAATTTGTTGGTTATTTATAGTGAATGTATTTTATTTATTTACAATTAATTTTTGGTTTATTGATAGAAAAATCATTATGGATGGTAAACTGACCAATATGGTAACATGTACTTCATAATAATCTATTTAATTGTATTTCTTTGGTGTAATATATATTTTTGCTGACTCTAAGTGACATCAGGGTGTATAAAAATATTTCAGAAAACGATATTTTTATTATAATATTTGATTTACACCTGTGGGAAAGGTCACGGTGACCGAGTGGTTAAGGCGTCTGACATTATACCACTGTCCCTCCACCACTGGGTCGCGGGCTCAAGGCTAACGTTGGGCAGTATCCAGGTACTGGCCGCGGGTTGTTTGTTCTTTCCGGGTACTCTGGCTTTCCATCACCACCAAACCTGGCACGTCCTTAAATGAGCTGTTAATAGGACATAAAACACAAGCAAACCAAACCACAACTGTTGGAGTGCTTGAAACCGGGAAATTCCAGGTCATATCCGGAGACATCACATGCATGAATCAACACTTGGTAAAAATCTCTCTCTCCCCATGTGGTGGTATAGTATAAACTAAAAAAAAAAGATAAGTATGCCCCCGCAACAAAGTTGGGAGGGTGTACTGGAATCAGCTTGTCCGTCTGCCCGCCCACCTTTTGTTGAAAAAAATCCTGAAACTTTTCAGATGTGATAACTACCACCTAAAGTTGTGCATCCAGGTATTTTTTCCAACCCTTTTTTATAAAGTTAATGGCCCTTTGTTGAAAAATCCTTGTCCTGACAACTCGTTATCTATAGCTAGTGGGCCAATTTCAAAGAAAGTTTACAGATATGGCAACTGCCCCTTGACATTGTGCATCCAAGTGGTACTTTTTCATTCCGAACCATTTTAAAAGGAGTTATGGCCCTTTGTTGAAAAAAACTTTGTCTGCCTCTGCTTTCAACGTTTTTTAAGGAGTTATGGCCCTTTTGTTAAAAATATTGGTCCTGACATCCCTTCCTTAACTACTAGGACAATTTCAGCAAAACTCATTCATCTGGGCTATCAAGATTTGGTTTGCAAGTATGTTTTGGCATCGAGAGGGAGTACTGTACAGGAAGTATGTGAGTGACCTTTATACTTAGATAAGTGTACAGCTCAGCCAATAAAGAACCATTACTGGTGGGAAACTATAATGCTTTGCAATACTTTGCCTTAGTAAGTCTTTAGCTTACAGTTCTGGCTTATATAGGAGCAGGGGTATAAGATAGCCTTTGGCTTATGGTTTTAGTTTTCCCTGTACACATCCGATTATATTACGCATCGTGGTATTGATACTTATTCTATACAGCAATCAATAAAGTAATATTGTTGTTTGTGTTAATAGAACAGCCTTGAATCCTTGACTCACTACAAGATGTCGGATGGCACTGATGGTTCTGGGCCTACTGGAGGGAGGTATGTTAATATATATTGGGACTGCATGGACTTGAAGACATCAGTGAATAAAACATATAATGGGCCCTACCAAAATGAAACCATGAACTTGCACTCATGTATTGTAATTCAGAGTTTTTGCCAGGTGTTTAGGTCCAGGGACTCATTCCCAATTGAAAAATGACCCTGCACTTTTTCCAATTTCAGCCTTTAATTTTCCAATTGGATTAAAAAACATGTTTAAAAAAAATTCCAGTCGTTGTATGTGCAAAGTTCAAAGTATTACCATCCATGAAGGATTGTTCAAAAGACATAAATTACAAAAATTTAAGTTAGATAAACACAAAATCTGAAAATTGATGTGTTTATTTGTTGTTATACATTTTTCTATAAAATAACAGTTATTGGAAATTATTTGGTTTATTATTATCACATTGCAGGTTTTTATATTTTATATTTGTTTAATTTTTTTCAAACGTTTTGATACTTTCCCAGGCCTGTACTAATGATATTTTCCCAATTTCTGCTCAGAGGCCCTTTCCCAAAACAGCTGGCAAATCCCCTGTAATTCCTCATACAGTCGATCTTACCAACTGAGCTACCTGATCAGCAAGATTTCCATGGCCCCGACCCTCTACAGTTATATTCAAAATATGATTAAGGGGAGGTAATATAACTTTATGAATGAAAAACTTTATAGTAGAAGCATACAATGTGCTTACAAACCTTTTGAAGTTTCCATGGAGATATCCTGTGTGCTCTGAATCAACAACATTTATTACATAAAAGTTGTGTATATACCCCTTTAGGTAAAAAATAACACTTTAGAATGCCATCTTTTGAGTGTTTCTTTCATACAAAATCATAAGATCTTTGAATATATACATATAGTTTTGTAAATTTACTGGCTGAAAATGGTTAATGTTAGGGCCCGAAATCTGGAGCCACCCTCCAAAATAGGGAGAGTTGGCAGGTATGTGGAGTTCTGTAGTGGGACATGGACCTTGAAGTATATTTTAATCTTTTTATCCCTGTAGACCATAATGGACTCATCCAGGTCAAAGCATGGTAGAGTCTACTGAAATTACATAGGGGTGAAAGAGTTAACACTATACCAATACTACACAGTATTCTGATATAAAAGGTAAAGTAAATAAGCAGATGTGATGTAAAAGAGATTATGCTATATATCACAGGGACTTTTCTTTGCCAAGTTTTACAACAACACTGGCTGCTTTGAATTCCCTCAGCAAAAAAGTACAGATTTTCCCAAAATGAAGAAAAAAATGAGGAATATCTTCTCAATTTCAATAACTAATTGCTACATTTCCCCATATCATCTAGGAACAGGCTGTTGTAAAATTTAACTAGAAAAGTACATTGGCTTTAAATACTCAAATACTACATTACAAGGATTTATCGTCTTAATATATTCAGTCCAGATGAGATGCAAGTCTCGTGAAACATCACCACGATACGTTTCCCCAAATTTGAATTTTCTGGTGGTGATAATGACCATATAATTTTTAGTATTTCTATTACAGTGAACAACGGTCTCAGCTAACAAGAGAAGAGTTTGAACGACAGACGTACCCTGAAAATTTTCAGTTTGTAGGGAGAGCCTTAATAGTAAACAATCACATATTCAAAGGTGAACAGACAAACAATAAAGGTGAATTCCGTAAAGGCTCTGAGATTGATGTACAAAAAATTGAGGCACTGCTTAGCAAGCTAGGATTTACCAAGGAGAACATTAAAAAAGGTGAAAACCTGACAAAAGATGAACTGAAAGAGGAAATAAAAAAAGGTAAATATAATTATATTAAGTTATATATTCCAGGGGTGTATTTCCCAAATGATGCCCAAGTCTATTAGATTTTATCTCAGGACAGTGGTGGTTGGTTTTTAGGTCACCTGAGCTTTGCTCAAGTGACCTATTCCAATCACTTTTCGTCCGTCGTCGTCCGTCGTCCGTCGTGCGTAAACTTTTACATTTTCAACTTCTTCTCAAGAACCAGTGGATTGATTTTTTTCAAACTTGGTCAGAATCATCCTTGGTAGATGAGGCTTCAAAATTGTAAAATTGGGATTCCTACCCCAACCCCTGGGGCCAGGGCGGGGCCCCAAAGGGAAAATTAATCAATATTTCAAAAATCTTCTTCTCCAGACTCAGAGGTACTACAGTGATTTTCTCTACGTGGAAAGAAAGATCATCAGGGGCTTTACTTAAATTGTAAATTTCAGGACCCCCGAGCTATCCGTTCTCCCTTGGGGAGGGGGTAAAGTTTACTATAGTTTATATAGGGAAATAACACTTTTGGGTATATTTTGACAACTTTCTGTAGGAAATTATTTTTACTTGGTGAGAATTATCCTTGGAGGTAGATGGTTTCAAATTGTAAAATTGAGATTCCTACCCCGACCCCTGGGGCCAGGGCGGGGCCCCAAAGGGAAAATTAATCAATATTTCAAAAATCTTCTTCTCCAGACTCAGAGGTACTACAGTGATTTTCTCTACGTGGAAAGAAAGATCATCAGGGGCTTTACTTAAATTGTAAATTTCAGGACCCCCGAGCTATCCGTTCTCCCTTGGGGAGGGGGTAAAGTTTACTATAGTTTATATAGGGAAATAACACTTTTGGGTATATTTTGACAACTTTCTGTAGGAAATTATTTTTACTTGGTGAGAATTATCCTTGGAGGTAGATGGTTTCAAATTGTAAAATTGAGATTCCTACCCCGACCCCTGGGGCCAGGGCGGGGCCCCAAAGGGAAAATTAATCAATATTTCAAAAATCTTCTTCTCCAGACTCAGAGGTACTACAGTGATTTTCTCTACGTGGAAAGAAAGATCATCAGGGGCTTTACTTAAATTGTAAATTTCAGGACCCCCGAGCTATCCGTTCTCCCTTGGGGAGGGGGTAAAGTTTACTATAGTTTATATAGGGAAATAACACTTTTGGGTATATTTTGACAACTTTCTGTAGGAAATTATTTTTACTTGGTGAGAATTATCCTTGGAGGTAGATGGTTTCAAATTGTAAAATTGAGATTCCTACCCCGACCCCTGGGGCCAGGGCGGGGCCCCAAAGGGAAAATTAATCAATATTTCAAAAATCTTCTTCTCCAGACTCAGAGGTACTACAGTGATTTTCTTTACGTGGAAAGAAAGATCATCAGGGGCTTTATTTAAATTGAAAATATCAGGACCCCGAGCTATCCGTTCTCCCTTGGGGAGGGGTTAACGTTTAATATAGTTTATATAGGGAAATAACACTTTTCGGTATATATTTTATCCATTTTCAGCAGAAAATTGCTCAAACTTAGTCAGAATCATCTTGGGTAAATGAGAGTTTTACTTTGTAAAATTAGGATTCCTGCCCCATCCCCAGGGGCTAGGGCGGGGCCCCAAAGGGAACATTTACCAATATTTTCAAATTCTTATCCATTGATGACATGACAAGTATTGTATTTCACTTAGTTTACATGCTGATTTCCACATCACATCTAAACAATAAAATAAAGCTACCAGTATCTATGATATAACTCAGGTGACCGCTAAGGCCCTTGGGCCTCTTGTCTAGATTTGCTTTGCGCCATGTATATAGTCCTTTATTGATTCAGTCTCTCGCTCTTGAAGCGATTTTTGTTACCACTATTTAAGAAATGTCAAAGGGATCATGATGAAATGTGTGTGTAGGATTCCCTTTGCCCATATATTTGTATATGCTTCGGTTGAGATCTATTGGAAAAAAACAAAATGGTTGCCTGGAGGCAGCCATCTTTGATTTCAGATGTGGAGTTATCACTGCTTCTTAGAAACTGAATGGTAACTTAATAGTTGATCATGCTGTTAAGATCAATAGAAAAAACCCAAATCGGCTACCAGGCAGCCATCTTTGGTTTTGCAGTTCGTTACAGCTGTTTCTTAGGAAGGGAAGATGACAAAACATCATGCTCGTTATCCCCTTTCTACAATAGAGGTTCCGCCATGTGTGATGGTTGGTTATCATGTTTATCTAACTTGAGTTGGTTAATTTTCAAATTGTATGAAACAATTTGAAAATTAAGTAATGAGAGTTATCTCCTCTTGAATCTCATAATTATTCAATCTAATAAAATCATATCTTCACATTGCTCCCGTTTACTGATATGTCGCGTGGAAGCACAAGACATATCAGTAAATTTAAACGGGAGCGATGTGAAGTAATAATTTTAATTAGATTGATAATTATTTTCATGAGCATTTATTGTTTATGTTCTATTTTTGTTGAGCCAGGATGAGGATTGAAGTACCATATAGGATTCTTTAATTTGTTTGTTTTAGATTCAGTTTATTTAATATTTTTTTGATACTAAAATATTAACACGATCAACTATCATGCTTGATTGACTGGAATTTTTCTCAGGAAAACTTTATAATGTTTTTATCAACCCCTACAGAATTTACATTTGGAGTGTGTGTGTGTGTGAGTGTGTGTGTGTGTGTGTGGGGGGGG